AGGGAGGAGAGGGGCAGCTCAGCAGCAAGAGGGATGTCACAGGAAAGTGGTCACTGTGGCTTCGGCCAGGGTGCCCTGACCATCCACTGACACACTCCCAGACAAAATCCAGGAGCCCAGGGCCTCGCCGTGGAGGCCTCCATCGGCCAAGCCGCCCAGGAAAGGCCCTTTCCTCCCCCGCTCCCGGGGAGCCAGGGCCCTGGTGGAGTCGGGACGGGCGAGAAGCTGGGCCGTGTCGCCCCCCCCCCACCCAAGGGTAACCCTTTCTGCACAGCCAATGGGGCGGGGCTCCCCGGAAGCTGGTGGTGCAGGCAGGGGCCCCGCCCTGCTCCCCCAAGGACCCCCCAGGGCACCTGCCTGCAGACTGGGGGGACCTGAAGAGAGGACACAGCCACGCCCCACGGACACAGCACACGCCCCAGGCGGCGTCCGCAGGGTCACAGCGTGGCTGGGGCAGAAAGGCCTCACCACTCCCAGTGCCTAGTCAGGACCAAACCTGAGCCATCTCTGCCCAGCAGGATCTGAGCCGACACAGGAGCCTCTGCCGCCTTGTGGCCAGGACACTCGCAGAGGTGACACAGGAGCCTCTGCCGCCTTGTGACCAGGACGCTCGCGGAGGTGACACACTCATCCTGACATGAGAAGCTGCCTCCTACTCTCAAATCCACAAAAGAGTGTTCAAATGCCAAGGTGTCGCACCAAGAGTCTGGAAAGCTCACTTCCCTGGTGGGCGGGGTGGACACTGGTTCACCGAGAAGAGTCACGGGCAGAAGTGCACGATGTGGTTACAAAGACAGCCATGAGACCAGTTCCCCGCAGAGAGCGGCCGCGATCCCCGAAGCCAGCTTCGGGTCCCAGGAAAACGCGCCTTTTGTGAGTTTCCTGCCAGCGAGGGCGTCGTGCTCCACTGTGATGGCTTCAGGCCTCAGCTGCCCTGCGTCTCTCTTCTACGAGCATTTAAAGAACAAAAATAAAAGGTACCAGCCCTTCCCGCGGGGGAGCCCCCTCCCTCCGCCCCCCAGGGCCGTGCCCCAGAGTGGAGGAGTGAAGCTGTGAGCCCCGATCCTGGCCGGCCTGGAGCTGGCTTTCCGGCCGACAGCAGGAAAGAGAGTTTGTCCGCTCCTGGCTTTCTTGTCTACACTCTGCAGGATCTCAGAGGAAGACTGGAAGAGAGACGCTCTCGGCTATTCCAGGCAAGGGGAAGCCAGGTCACTGTCCTCTGCCTCCTTCTCCCCACCCTATGACCCGCTGGGCCTGCTGGTGGCACCCAGGGCCTGCTGGCCAAAGAGGGAGCCAGAATCAAAGCCACTGGTCACCACAACGTGAAGACCCGAGAGCAGGACCAGGCCCGGGTCTGGAGGACAAGTGACTTCATGGGAGGGCGGACACACACCCAGGGGGACGAGGACATCGTGCTGTGGCAAAGGACATCGTGCTGTGGCTCCTAAAGAGGGACACAGGCTCAGATCGCAGCTCTGCCGTGCGGGCGGGCAGCTGAGGGGCCCTGGGCTCACCCCCACCTGCAGAACGTGGCTGTGAGGACAGTTGGCGTGAGCGACACACCCCACCAGGACCCCGAATGCTCTCCGTCCAGCTGCGGGGCTGACACTAACGGAAACCTTCACTTTCACGGAAACCACCGCACTACCAAATGCTTCCCCTGCCTGCGAGCCTCGGCCCGAGCAGGCCCAGCGCTGGCCCACGTGCACTCAACGAACGTGACTCTCCTGTCCAGGGCAAGGGGTCCCTGCCAGCTAACGATGGGGGCTCCCCACACACTCCTGGAACAGGCACACGTGTGCGAGCGCCCGTGAGGAGACGTCGAGGGGACCGCCAACACGCTCCGCGACTGCGTGACGGCCAGGGACCACAGCCTCGGCGCAGGCACAGGCGGGCGCGACGGGAAGGGGGCTGTCACTGAGAGCGGGCACACCTCCGGGGCGGGCACCAGGCAGGCACTCTCTGCCGTCGCCAGTACGTGTCACCACGGCACTGTCCGAGCTCGTGCAGGGAGAGGCAGGTGCAGGGTCCAGCGAGAACCCGCACACCGGGCCTCCGGCCTTGGGGTGGCGAGTCGGCGGGCTGCTGGCGGGGCGCTACAGGAGCTGCCCACAGTGCCCAGGAGAGCGAGGGCTTCGCCCTGGACACGGTCACTCCGCCCGTCTGGGCGTCTCGGACTCCTGCTGCTCAGAGTGTGGGGCAGAAGTCGGATTCAGGGCCATCTGGTGACCTGAAGCTGCAGTCGGTGTTTTACGTCTTAAAACGTAAATCAGAGGCTGCTCTGCCCCTGCTCTCCAGCCATCTATCTGCCACCACGCAGAGCGAACCGCGAGCGGCCCCGGCTCGCGCCTGCGCACTCCCTGCCGCCCGCAGATGCGCCCCTTGCACGCTCCAGGACGCTTGTCCCAGACGCTCCAGTGTAAGGGTGCGGAACACCGTTTCACTGAAAAGCTGAGCTGCAAATGCCTCCACTTAAAAACGTAATAAACTACGCGACCAGGAGTCACTCTCTTGGACAGTCGCTTTGCGCTGCGTTCAGAGAACGTTAACCACGCACGCAGGGGGCGAAGCAGCTCCTGAAGGAGGTCCACGGGGACCGCCTAAAACCCTCACCATGAAGGCTCCTCGTGAACACAGACCAGACCAGGTGTTTTTAAACTATGACGAGCATAACGAACACGTGTTCTGAAAATCACGTAATATTTCCAAATGACAATTCCAAAATTCAACAAATGGTGCTGAGAAAACTATTTATCCAAAAGCAAAAGGATGAGGCTAGACCCTTATAGAACACCACACACGGAAATCGACCCAGAGGCCTAACCCGGAAGAACCGAAGACCTAAACTGAAGAGATAAATCTATAAAACTGTTAGAAGAAAACAAACTCGTGACCATGAATTTATGGCCATGATTTCTTGGACAGGACACCAAAAGCACAAGCGACAAAAGAGAAAAGAGACTGTCGAACTGATCAAAATTTAACGCTCTTGTACATCAAAGGACACAATCAACAGACTGAAAAGACGACCCCCCGGAATGGGGGTAAATATTTGACAACCATGGATCTGATAAGGAGTTAACATCCAGAATACGTCAAGTATTCTTGCAACTCAACGACAAAAAGCAACCCAATTAAAAAATGAGCGAAAGACTTGAATCGACATTTCTCCAAAGATATACCAGTGGACAATAAGCATGTGAAAAGATGCCCAGCATCATTAGTCACTAGGGAAACGCAAATCTAAACCACAGCGAGACAGCACCTCACGCTCGCCAGGATGGCTGCGATCCGAACACAAAAGAACGAGCGTTGGAGGAGCTGGTGAAACTGGAAAGCTCGTGCGCGGCCGCCGGTGAGAACGTAAAATGGGGCGGCGCCGTGGAAAACAGCTGGGCGGTTTCTCTAAGAGATAAACAGAACTGCAGGTGATACAGCAATCACGTGAGGTGTGCACCCACAAGACTGGAAGGCAGGGACCCAGACAGCTGCTGGCCCACCCATACTCACCGCAGCCCTGTGCACTACAGCCAGAAGCGGGAAGCAACCCAAGAGCCCACCACCGACGAATGGATAAGCATGCGGGCCACAGATATGACGGGATGTTATTCATCCGCACAAAGGGATGAAGTTCTGATCCTGCTCCAACACAAAGGCCAGTCACTCCTTAAAACTGGCCTTACTTTTCCTGTGACATGCATTCAAAACACGTATCTGTCACATTTCTCCATGAAGTTTTCATAAGGACTCTTGCTGTCCTTAGCACTTAAAAATTAGGAGAAAAAACATCCTTCTTGATCACATCCACCACTGATAACTTCGTGATACCCACAGGTTTGGCCCAGCTTCGTCTCTCGCTGTAAGTCACAGATCCCCCTTGGCAGGAAAAACGCCCAGCGTGTCTAGAGGCAGCACGAACCAATTACGCTGGCTCAGCTCTCGTTACCTTCTCGAACAAACAAAAGACAAGAATTCCATGCTAGAAAAAGGACACAAACACAATGTCCTCGATTTTCTTCACCAGGAACCGGGACCTACAGATCCTGTGGCACAGATGGCCCGGCGTCTGCCTGCAGGGATTTTAAACACCTGCGCAGCGCCTGCCCAGTTCCGAGGACCAGCGCTTCGCAACTCGGTGGCTCACGGAACTCGGGCAGGTGTGGCGTCCTCGAAGCTGCCCGCTCAGCCTGGGCCCTGATCTGTACGTGGCCTACAACGGCCTCCCTAAGGGAAAAGAGGACTTAATCCCAAATGCCACACAGCAGAAACGGCTTACAAGCATCGAGGCCAGCACTGTGGGGGTCTCACAGGACGCCCGGTGACGTCGCACTGAAGAACGCGGCACCAGAAGAAAGGCAGAAACCTGTTCCCCGAGATGCAACTGCCACCCCGCACGGTGCTGTGAGAACTGGTCCCCGGCCGGAGGCCCAGGTGCAGCGGGGGTCCACGGTGAGGGACCTGGACACGGGCCCGTGTGCACAGGTAAGCAGCATCCACCCACTGCACGTGCTCTGACCTCTGAGGCCGGTTCAGGGTATCTGTCACGTGAACACCTGCATTTGTGGCCAAAGGGACCAGCAGAGCAGCCAGCCCGGGCGCTGTCACACGCGCTCCCCAACCCCAAGCCCAGAACTTCAGAAACGACCGCTGGACAACATCTATGACTTTATTCAAAAATAAAGGAGGCACACAGTTACAGAACTAAAAGTCCGAAGTCACCTGAAACAGCAGCTCGCCAAAGGTTTGAGGGCGAACTTGCGTTTGGGGGGGTTCATTATAATTACTAGAGAGAGCATGAATTCTCAGAGATGCGTGTCAGGAGAACGGACGATGGAGGTGGGTCGCGTTGTCTCCCACTCCGGGGGAACCCCAGGGGAACCCTTGGACGCAGGAGTGGCTCTTCCAGGCCCGCTTCCTCCGGCCCAGCTGACGCGCCTCACCGGGAGGGCGGGCTCTCTCCCCAGATCGCGGCGAGGTCACCGCCAGCCCGCCCTGGAGGAGGCTACGCGGACACCTGTCAGTTCATGCTCGTCTCTAGTCAAGCGCGGCAGGCCATCTGCGGCTCGTGGCGCGGGGCGTTTCAGCACAGAGTGGGGGCCTGGGGCAGGGGCAGGGACCCGGCGCGCGCCCCTACGCGTCGTGCCCCAGGGCGTGGAGGTCTTCCAGGAGCTCACGGGCCGCGGCCTGCAGCCGGGGGTTGCGGCTCTCCGACAGGGCCCGGATGCGCTGCAGGGGCAGCGAGCTCCGCAGCTCGGGGCCCGACCTGGCCACGACTTCCGGCTCCAGGACCACCGACTGGACGAGGCGCAGCACGTGGAGACGCACCTCCGCGTCCGGATCTGGGGAGGAGGGGGCGCTGGTTAGAATAAAACCTGCAAGGATGCGGAGAGGGGCCTGCCCCACAAGGCTTCGTGGTCTTTCCGAACGACAGATCGTCATCTATGTCATGACCTCCCATCCTCAGGTGTTACTCACCATCGTGTAACTTAAAATGCTGCACTGAAACGCCGAGGGCTTTCCACGCTGTTTGCGGCTCCGACCACTGACAAGGCTGCTTTCAGAGGCGTCTCCCTTTCCTCTGAGGGCAGCAAATCCCCCCAAGACCACACGCAGACGCAGCCTCTATGCAGGGCCACAGTGCCAGGGTCACGATTCGCACCGCATCCCCTCTCTTCCCATGTGCAGGCTCCGTGGAGTCACACAACCTGGCGGTGCTGCATATACCGCAGCACCCGCTAAGACACAGCTAGACTGAACGACAGCCCGACACCAAATACCGCCCGAAGCAGGCGGCCCAGCAATCGCCATTTCTCCCGACCCGAAGCCTCGACATGCCGTTAAGTCTCTTCTTGATGGGACGCTGCTAACTGGAACCAGGCTCAAAACCTGCACCTCTTTGTTAGCGCTACACTTAGAAACCTTTTAAGTGGACTGAACATAGCCTCGGTGGGGACGGCCACAGGCCCCTCAGAGCTTCGCCTAGTGAACAGGAGCCCCCGGGGCCCAGTGAAAAGCAGACCTGCTGCACCCTGGCGAGGGGCAGGCTGTCCTGGGCCCAGACCCTTAGAGTCCTCCTATCTGGGAGGACGGGAAGGAAACTGCCTCTAGTACCAGGCCTGCCCAAGACACTGGGCAGAGTGTGGCTGCCACAGGGAGGGCAGGATCAGAAGGCGGGTGCCAGCCCCAGACAAAGGTAGACAGGAACGGAGGCCTCCCCTCGCTCCACTGGGAGAGCCGGCTACAGCTGGAGGGGGAGATGCTGGTGGTGGGGGGGAAGCAAGGGCTGGACCGTCACCCTCCGGGTACAGACCCGAAGGCCAGGCTGACAGGGGAGGGTGGGCCAGAACACTGCAGAAGGCTGGCTCTCTGGCAACTCAGTCCCCACCCTCGGCACAAGGAAGGGTTAGATGAATTTGGGCTTTTTCGTGGTTTTTTTTTTTTTAACAGTAATCTCTCGAATTTATTTTTCTTTACCAAATTTGTTTTACCTATTCTAATTCCTTTGCTTTTTCACATAAATTCTAGAACGATGTTGCTTCCACTGTTAAGAATTTTGCTGGGATCTAGACTGTCATCACAGTAAACCAGGGTATCAATTTGGAAGAGAACCGACATCTTTACTACGTTTTTTCTTTTTTCTTTCTTTTTTTGGTCTGTATGTATATTATTCCTAACTAGTTTTCACTCAACATTATGCTTTAGAGATTCGCCTGAATTGATAACAGAAGCTGCAGTTCATCCACTGCAGTCCATGAATAATAATTTATCGTCCATTCTTCTCTCGATGAACATTTTGGGTTGTTTCCTGATCAATGCTATTATAAACAATGCTGCCATAAAATTCTTTAAGAGCCTCCAGTGAGATACTTTGGGGTGCCCCAAAATCCCTATTTTACATGTTCTTAATGAAGCCTTTAAAAATCAGAAAATAAAGCGTACACCAGGGAAAACCAACTGCTCTCTACGCACTCATGACCCAGCCGAGCGCGGCCGGGCGACTCCCTTCTTCCCCGCCCAGGCCCAGGCCCCTTCGGCAACTGTCGGCCTGTTCTCTGTATCTATGGGTCTGTGTCTGTTTTCTTTACTCATTTGTTTTTGTTTTCAGATTCCACATGTAAGTGAAACCATGTGGCATTTGTCTTTCTCTGACTTATTTCACTTGGCATAATTCCCTCTAGGTCCATCCACGTTGTCGCAAATGGCGAGACCGCCTTCTTTTTACGGCTGAGTCGTATTCCACTGCATGTTTGTACCACACCTTTATCCAGTCATCTATTGATGGCCGCTTAGGTTGCGTCCATAGCTTGGCTATTGTAAATAACGCTGCAGTGAACATAGGGATGCATTTGTCTTTTCAAATGAGTGTTTTTGTCTTCAGATAAACACCCAAAAGTGAAATTGCTATACTTTTATATAGCCATTTCAATTATATATAATTATATAAAAAAACATATAGCAGCTATATTTTTTATTTTTTTGAGGCATCTCCATACGGTTTTCCATCGCGGCTACGCTGATTCACAATCCCACCAGCATGAGGACCCCCTTCTCCACATCCTCTCCAGCACTAGTCTGCTGATTTATGACGACAGCCATTCTGACAGGTGTGAGGTGGGAACCCACTGGGGTGCTGATTTGCATTTCCATGGTGATTAGTGATGCTGGGCATCTCTTCGTGTGTCTGTTGGCCACCTGCATGTCCTCTGGAGATAAGTCTACCCAGGCCCTCGGCCCACTTTTCAGTGGGACTATCTTCTTGCTGTTGTGTGAGCTCCTAACACATTTTGGATATTAACCCCTCATTGGATGGATCACTGCGAACGTCTTCTCCCATTTCGGCGGGCTGTCTTTCTGTTTCGTTAATGGTTCCTTTGCTGTGCAAAGACGTTTTAGTTGGTTGGGTCCCGTTTGTTTTTCTTTTGTTGCCCTTGCCTGAGGAGCCACATCCAAATGGCATCACGGAGACCATGTCAGAATTTACTGCCTGTGTTTGCTTCAGGGAGTTCATGGTTTCGGGTCTTATATTTAAATCTTTAATCCATTTTGAGTTCATTTTTGTACATGGTATAAGAAACTGCTCCGCCGGCACAGGGAATGCAGGGAGCATTGACAGATTAATGACAGGCGAAAACCCAGAGGAGAGAAGCAGCAATGGGGGGGTGAGGGGGTCATTTTAGAAATCACAGAAACGTCTAACCGATGTACTGTATTCCTGAAACTAATTAAATAAATTTTTTAAAAATTGCCCCAATTTCATTTTTGCATGTATCTGCACCCTCAGACAAGAAAAGTTAGAGGAACTTGAAGCCAGGGTGCACGGAAGGTAACCATGGCAACAATGAAGCCCAAACCCAGCTCAGGCCCTCAGGCGCTGACAAGAGGCATGCCATTTCTGGGGACAAACGCCACGTCCCTCTCCTGCAGAGGCTGATGCACTGTGGCCCAGGGCCACACGCAGCCGTGGCCTGTTTCTGTGCAGGCTGTGAGCTATGACTGGTTTTAACATTTAAAAGGTTTATTTAAAAAGAAAAAAACAAACAAACAAACAAACAGGAGAATAATGTGCAACAGAAACCTATGTGGCTCTCTAAGCTCAAAGTATTTATTACCTGGCCCATTACACAAAAAGTTTGCTGGACCTCTCACACCAGCCCCCCACACACAAACAATTGTCCTACACACAATGTCCAACATGCAATCAGAAATTTTAACAGCCAGGAAAACAAAAAGCCCACAGTGAAGTGACGAAGTAACCAACAGAGCCAGGCTCGGAGGCCACCCAGATACAGGGACAATCAGAAAACAGATCTGAAATAAATATGAATAACAAATGGGAAGACACTGCTTTGGGGTGCTCACAGTACACCTGAAGTATTTTTTTAAAGATCTCAAATTCCTTAATTAAAAATCTTTAACGATGATTAATTAAAGACTGTATTGTAAACCCTAGGGCAGATACTACAAAAAGTTCTTAACGAGTAAATAAGCCAGCAATGCGGATAAAATAGAATATTAAAACAATCCCACAGCAGACAAAAGAGGATGAAAGAAACAAGTAGAAATATTTCTGCATTTCTTTCTACATACATTAAATGAACACAATATAAACACACTAATTAAAAGACAGAGAACGCATAAAACAGCAAGAACCAACTACACACTGTCTACAAGACACCTGAGATAAAGACACAAATTAAAAGTAAAAGAACATTAAAAGTATGCCACGCAGACGCTGATCGGAAGGAGGATGCAGGGTCCACATTATTATCTGACAAAGCAGATTTCAGAACAAGAAATATTACCACAAATAAGGAGGGACTGTGCCTAATTATAAAGAGGTCAATGCACCAAAAAGACGTAATAGCCCGATTACATACGTACCTAACAACGGAGCTTCGAAACACATAAGGCACAATGGGAAAGAACTCCGAGGGCGAATACACAAAGTCGCAACCGGTGACGGAAGGGTTAACACTCTGACTTCTATTACTGACTGGTGAACAGAAAGGAGAGCAGTGAGGACTCGGCATCCCTGGACAGTGCTACCAGCCAGCCCGACCTGACCGACACGTAAAAGACACGCTCCGTGAGCAGCAGGGATTAGACCGGACACTAACAAAAATGCGTAACAACAGAAAATAACAGAAAACATCTGAACAAAGGAAGTCATGACGGAAACCAGGCAATACCGTGATGAATGAAAACACAACATTATCACAATTTGTGGGTGCAGTTACATCAGTGCTTAGAAGGGGAAAGTATAGTATTAAATGTTCATATTAGAAAAGAACAAAGGTCTCAAATTAGTTATCACAGCTTTCATTTATTTTTTTAAAAAAATCTGAAAAAGAACAACTAAAACCCAAAACATGCAGAAAGAAAATAAGAGCAAAAATCAGAATGAGAATAAAAATTGATTTAAAAAACAAACAAACAATAAAACCAAAGTCTAATTCTTTTTTTAAAAAAATCTATAAAATTGATAGAACTCTAGCCAGAGGGAGGGAGAAGAGAGACACGTTTTATAAATAGCAGAAATGAAAGAGGAAACATCACTACAAATCCTACAGATATTAAAGGAATAACACGGGAATATTATGAACAATTCTGTGCCCATAAATTTTACAACTTGGATGGAACAGACAAATTCTTGGAAGATATAAACTACCCAAATTAATTTAAAAAAAAAAAAGAAAGAAAAGATAACTTGAACAGTCCTGTATCTATTAAAGAAATTGAATTTGTAGTTTAAATTGTTTCAACTATGAAAAAACCCCAGGCCCGGAGGGCTTCATTGACAAATTCCATCAAACACCTAAAGAATAAATAATAGTAATTT